AACAGGCCACCCATTGCATATTCTGGTGACATGTAACCACTACATACCATTACCAAAGAAATTGGAAATTAGTACAAAATGAGCTCCAGAGATGTACTTGGAAATCTTGTGACTTTTTGGCTAACTTGTACAAGAAAAAGAGTGTTGGCCACTTACTAAGTTCCAACGACCCTTTTTGTTATTGCGGATGATTGATCTACTCCAAAATCCTTAGCTAGGCCAAAATCTGAAATTTTAGAATTCATCTCACAATCTAGTAGCACATTGCTGGCTTGAGATCTCTTTGAATAACTCAATCTTGAATCTTGATGTAGATAGAGTACCCTTGAGCAATCCCAGCAATAAATATCCAAGCGTCTCCTTCATGTGAGTGATCTACTTCTTGGGTTTTTTAGACCTGTATTGAATAAAGGGCCCAAGTTTTTATTAATTTATTAAATGTTCAAGTATTATATATATGTATATATATATGTCCATCACAAAAGTGACATATTATATCACTCAAGGGTGGACCTAGGGCTGCGCATAACTGGCTACAGCCCAGCCCAAAATTTAAAAAATCTGTAGAATTTTGTTTTTCCCAGTCCAGCCCCAGCAGGGGCCAATAGTTTTTCTTGTTTGTTTTTTAGATAGGCAGCCCAATAGCAGCCCAATACTTACCCAAAAAATAGATAGGCAGCCTAATGAGTTTGTATTTGTTTAAAGAACAAATATTTCAAAACAATCCTCATATCTTCCAATAGATAGGCCGCGGCCCTCTCTTCGTCATCTGCAACAGCTCCACTTTCGTAACATTATTTGTAAGCGTGATTAACCAATTATTTTATTTCGTTGACTGAGAATGGATTTGATTAACAATGGTTTTGAAATTTTGTCTTTATGCAACAAATATTTTATTGCTCTTAGTTTTTTTATGATGCTGCCTTGTTCAATGTTCTATATTGCTTTTAGTTTTTGAACTTTGAAGGAGATTTTTTGGACATATATAAAAATAATGAAAGCCTAAATAAAAATTATTGAGGATATATATAAAAACCCTAATATTTAAAATTATTGCAAATATACTCTGGTTTAATATTAAATAGGGCTAATTTAAAAAAAAAATTAGGTAATAAATAATGGAACCTCCACCACTAAAAAAAAAGGCAAAACCCCTTTTCTCATTCTATCAATCAAAATAAGTCTAGTAGTACAACATCCAATGCTGTTAAAACCTCATTTTCTGATGTGCAGCCGCCTTTCATGCCTCAAATAAACCAAGCGAATTTGATTCAACTGTTACTGAACAGGATCCTGGTATACGCCTGCAAACTTGTGAATATCCAGTTAATCAACGGGATGAGGTTAGACGAGCTTATGTGAACTTGGGGCCTTATCAACCTATCTTATGTTGACCCTTCCTATTTCTATGGTGACTACGGAAAGAGTATTTTCGGGTATGAAGCATGTTAAAACTGCCATTCGCAATTCAATGGCGAATAGTTTCTTGGCAATTGCTTGTCTCTCTACCTTGAACGAGACCTTACTTTGAAAATTAATCTAGATTCTGTAATCGATGAATTTGAATATTTAAAGACTCGTCGAGCACAACTTAGTTAGATCGTTTCTAATCAATAAATTTAGATATTAATCTAGATTATATTATTAAATTCTCTTTTTTCTTATGTGGTTATACTCAAAATATATTGTATAATTTTACCTTAATATTAGCCCACCCTATCGACGAATCCTGGGTCCGCCCTTGATGTCACTCATTTTTTATCGCATTGCTTTACAGCCAACCTGGAGGCTCGTGAATCATGATATTATTAAGTAAAAATTGAGCAAGAATATCAAATGATATAGAACGGTGGAAAAAACACTGATATATACACCATTGCTCATAATATTATAGCTACTTAGCAAGGCAAACTTTTTCGATTAGCATAATTTTCTATTTGGTCAAATATGAATTCCAAACAACCAAGATATAGACGAGGAAGGTTGAGAGGGCAAACCAAAAATGCAAGAATCCAAGCTTCCATTGGGCATGTACTTGTAAATTAACGTTCTTTCTTCTCCACGGATGCAACATCCCAAAAGCCTAACCAAATTACGGTGTTGAAGTTTGGCAATCAAAATCACTTCACTTTTGAATTCATTAAGACCTTGTTTGGAGTTAGTTGAGAAACGTTTGACAGCTACCTCTTTTCCAGTTGATAGCACACCCTACGATAATCAACATAAAGATTTATTTTGATCATCATGCAAAGATTATTCCAGCTTCTTCTTCTTCTTCTTCTTCTTTAATGTATTTTTCCCTATCAAGAATTTCATTTGTCCACTAAATAGCTAAAATAGCTAGTGTAGGAATGGAATAAACGTGCCTTGTAAATAGACCCGAAAGCACTGTCTCCAATTTTATATGTGCAACAAAAAATGTTAGTTGCCCTGCTAATGGTGACCATATCAAAGATGGGTAATTCTAAGTTTTCTTTATCACTGGCTTGAATATTGAGTCCTGCCCCAGTTAATTGTAAAACACAAAAAAAATTTAATGCTTGTGAAGTTTTGTTGTGCAATTGACAGTGAAAACATATGATGAAATAAATTAAACAGAAAGAATCAACACAAAAACATAAGAATTTATGTAGTTTGTCCAGCAGTAGGTCATGTCCATGGGTGAAGATTATCAATCGATCAGAACACAAGTATATTAATTTTTTCAAAAAGAAAAAGAAACAACATATTCAACCATAAACCGTAAGATAGTAGAAAATCTCATAAACCAGAACTATCTAAATTAGATATACTAACCAAGCAAAATTTAGCAAGAAGAGTGAAGAACATCAACCATATAATTCTATCCCACCCACCACAACATGCTCTCTGTGAGGGGAGTACACTCCCCACCCTTTGGCCACCCACAAATACTACACTAGACAACAAATGATAGAAATTGAAGGTCCAAACTACTAAAAAGAAAGAATGAAAGATATAACAAAATCCATGTAGTTTAACAACTCTATTTTTTAAATATATATATATATATCTTCTAAACTATTATAAAGCAAACCGCCACGGTGGTATAGAAGAAGCCGGCTCACACTGTAACTGTTTGGAGAAGTTTCTAACCCTATTTAACACTTCTAGTATATACATATAGCATAGGCAATAGTACAACTAGAAAGCCCCCTACAAACACCACCCCATGATAGCAAAAATATGAAAACCAGCACCCCTAATAAAATAAAACTACTCTGCCTAAGAAGCATAACAACAAACACGTTAGTTGCCAAATAGAAGATAATCAGAAGGGAGATGACCACAACAGATTTCACCACAATGGCCACTATCTTTCCATGAGAAATCTTTGATTGTTGTTGAGATGCTGCAATGAAGAAAACCATGACCCATTAGTTTAGCAAATTCAAACAAGAATCATCCATGTATATAAAATGTATTAAAAAAAATTATATTTCATTCACAATTTCCCTATCCCTCTTCACTTGAATCCAAAACTTTCGTTTGGAAAGTTAATATTTTAGCCAAAAAGTTAAAATGTCACTGTAATTTGTCATATCTCTCTTTACTTTTTTACATATCTTTTCATAAAAAACTAAATAATTAACTAAAGTACGAAATTATATTACATATCTTTTACATATCTTTGACATCTTTACGCACTATCTATTTTTTTATACGAACCCAATTATGACACGATAGGATACCACCATAAATAAACAATTTAGGGCCAAACACGCATAGTACGAAATTGACACAGTTAACCATTTAATGAAAAATTAGTTACATAATTTAATACTATTTTTACTAAAGATGTCATGATATGGTCAAATCCCTTATGTAACGGCATTCCATTGAATAATAAATATGAAAAATACAAATTTAAGACAAACATAGCATTTTTTTTTCCCCTTATTTCAAATATTTTGTTCCTTTTATTTACTATTTTAGAGTCAATTGTAAACAAAAAAATTAAATAAAATAAATAATTTTTAATTTTAAAGTTGGATAAATGAAATTAGAAGTAAGCAATCTAGTACAAATTCGTTTTATAAAACTTAATTTATGAAGAATTTTTTTTTAATGTTTACATACACTAAGTTCAAATAAAACATGACAGATTAACTATGAATTTAAAATAACATGACAAGAAAATACGAAAAAGAAAACAATTTAAGTTAATATTGTAAATATTCAAACACAAAACATGATCAACACAACACAATTCTCGCCCCTAGCCACACCAAAAACGACACTCCAATCTCTTCCTCATTATCACAATCAAACACCGGATAAAAAATCGGATGAAATTCATATGTTCCCTCTACTCTTGGCCATAGTAAAAATGAGCTTTTATGGGTTGGTACGGGTGTACCAAAAGGATAATTTTAGTGATAAATTTAATTTGTGGGTGTGAAAATGAAAACAATATTATCGAGTGGGAAAAAAATATTAGAGAGTTTATTTGTTTTGTTATTGTATTTTTATTTATTTATTATTGTTAGAATTATTTCTCTCTCACCCGTGAACATAAGTATTTTACAAATCACATAAATTCTATATTTTATTGTTTTCTGATTATTTTACTATTACTTTCATTACTTAAGCGGAGTTGATTCCCAATACACGCTACCCAGCACCACACATCCACAAAAACCATCTATATTACTACAAACTATTACGGTATTATTTTTACTACATTTTTTAATTCATTTTTTTCAAGGGAAAATTGGTCTAGGGTCCCTCTCTCACTTTTCATAATGGAAGAGATCCACAAAATTATTTTTTGATGTCTAAGGTCCCTAAACATATATCAGAGAAATTTGACTTTTGTCTCTACTCTACTCTCTCTCTCTCTTCTCCTCTCACCCACTGTCTTGCAAATCCTCCCTCCGATCTGCCACCGTCGCCAACCACCACCACCACTATCAAAGCCTACCAATCCACCCATCCTCGTTCCCGGGCATTGGATTCACCTCGGTCGGTGGATTTTTTGGGTTTCGTATTCCAGCACGAATTCAGGGTGAAGATGAGGAGCACGACGGCATTTCCGACAAGCCGTCCTCTGCTTCCTCTGATTCGTACCATTGATTTGAGCTCAAAAACCAAATCAATCTCTCTCTATTAGGTGCATATTCAATACTCATTTCTCTGTTTCATTCAATTTTCCATGTATAGTCTACTGTTACAATGAATTTCTGTTTCAGTACTCAATCATCAACCCATTGGAGCAACCAAGAATCAGCTGTTATCACTATTTCAGAGAGAGAGAGAGAGAGAGTTTGGTCAGTTTAATCCAATGGCTGCTCGTTACCGTGGGAAGAAGAAATCTGAGTGTGTTTTCAGGTTTTTCAATCCCAGTGTGCTTTCTATTTTGATTTTTTTAAAAGTATACACACAAACTGGTTCTTATATACACATCCAACTCAGAGAAAATTCAAATTTCTCTGGGTTCAACGCAGAGAAAATTCAGCATCATCATACAAGCCTTGAGCCTTTGTATTTTCCCATCCTGCCATAAAACATCAATATCAGTTCCAGAGAAATTCAAAATTTCTTTGGAGATAAATTCAGAACTTCTCTGGATTTCTCTACTACTCTGTTCTCTCTCCCTCTCTCTAATTTTATAAACACACTTGTGTGCTTGTTTTTATGGAATTTGTTCTGGTATTGTCATAATCAATTTAGTGGGTATGTCAGTGAATGAGAGTGAGAGTGGAGGCAATGGTTCATGGTTGATAAATTCTGAAGTCGGAGACCAAACACATGCACAAGTGAAGGAGGTTAAAATAGGTTTTTTTTCTTTTTCTGTTTTTAAAAATTCTCCACCTTCTTAGTAGTAGAATTTCTCAAATTTCTCTGGATTCAACCCAGAGAAATTTGAATTTTCTCTGGATTCAAGCTTCCAAGAGTTTTTGGCAATGGAACTGAATTTTCTCTGGGTTGAGAATTTTCTCTGGATTCAACCCAGAGAAAATTCAAATTTCTCTGGGTTGAATCCAGAGAAATTTGAGAAATTCTACTACTAAGAAGGTGAAGAATTTTTATTAACAGAAAAAGAAAAAAAACCTATTTTAACCTCCTTCACTTGTGCATGTGTTTGGTCTCCGACTTCAGAATTTATCAACCATGAACCATTGCCTCCACTCTCACTCTCATTCACTGACATACCCACTAAATTGATTATGACAATACCAGAACAAATTCCATAAAAACAAGCACACAAGTGTGTTTATAAAATTAGAGAGAGGGAGAGAGAACAGAGTAGTAGAGAAATCCAGAGAAGTTCTGAATTTATCTCCAAAGAAATTTTGAATTTCTCTGGAACTGATATTGATGTTTTATGGCAGGATGGGAAAATACAAAGGCTCAAGGCTTGTATGATGATGCTGAATTTTCTCTGCGTTGAACCCAGAGAAATTTGAATTTTCTCTAGGTTGGATGTATATATAAGAATCAGTTTGTGTGCACACTTTTAAAAAAATCAAAATAGAAAGCACACCGGGATTGAAAAACCTGAAAACACACTCAGATTTCTTCTTCCCACAGTAACGAGCAGCCATTGGATTAAACTAACCAAACTCTTTTTCTCTCTCTCTCTGAAACAGTGATAATAGCTGATTCTTGGTTGCTCAAATGGGTTGATGATTGAGTACTGAAACATAAATTCAATGTAACAATAGACTATACATGAAAAATTGAATGAAATAGAGAAATGAGTATTAAATATTCACCTGATAGAGAGAGATTGATTTGGTTTTGGAGCTCAAATCAATGGTATGAATCAGAGAAAGCAGAGGACGACTTGTCGGAAACAAGAATGGGTGGATGGGCTCCAGAATACCCGACATTAGTTTACAAGAATGATTGAACACTTCATAGCCTGACAAATCTCCATCTATCTGTAAATCTTAGCTGCCAAACTATGGGTGAAGATGTGCCTTTGTGATCTATATACGTTGGGGCACAATGCAGTGTAGTTTGCAGATCTGCAGCAACAACAACACCACCAGTGTCCAATATCAACGCCTCTGGATCGCCGCTCCTCAGACGGCTCGGCGACGCCATTGAAGGTCGGATCCGGTGAAGGTGGAGTTCAATCGGTTGGAGAATGAAGTCAGAGCTAAGGACACAAGAGTTGATCTGGACAGGTATGAGAATGGAGAAGTTTAGAGAGAGAAAGTGAGAGATGAGTTTTGATTTGGTAAGGTCAAATTTCTCTGTGATATGTTTAGGGACCTTAGACATCAAAAAATAATTTTGTGGATCTCTCCCATTATGAAAAGTGGGAGAGGGACCCTAGACCAATTTCCCCAAAAAAAAATTATATCCTTCTAAACTATAAGGACTTAAATAATAAATTTTTTTAATACAATTTTTTTTCTTAACAAAAGACAAAAAGATTAAGAAAATTATGATTTTTATAACAATTGCCAAATATAATAGATTCTATTTATTTATTTAATCTCAATTGTCAATTAGACAAATTAAAATAAAAAAATAACATTTTTTAACTTAAATAGTTAATAAGTGACTTTCGTTAAAATTCCTTTGTTGCGATCGGAATGAGATATTGAGAGTTCGTTTGGGATATGAGTTGACTTTTTAGATTTTTGATTTTTTGGGTATTTTAGTTGGGGATTAAAAAGTCTCGTTTAAGATAGATTTTTTTGACTTTCTTGACTTTTATTAGAAAAAAGATAAAATAATTATGATTTAAATGTAACATTTTACCTTATTAACTTTTTAATTTATTTTATTTTTTTATAACTATTTTAACCAACAAATCTCACGACTTTTTCTTTCCAAACCAGCTCTGAAAGTGTTGCCAGTGAAATCAGAATGGCGATCTAAATGCGTATCTAAGAAATAGAATTCTCTTACTTCGAATAAATTTTTTATTAATTCCAAACATGATCTGGTCATCATCTACCACTATTTTTCAGATTTTGTAAATCTTTCCCATAAGTCCAAACTTGGACCAAAATTGTTCCAATGAGGCTATGTTTGACATGATAGCCAGAGTTAGATTGGGTTATTTTAGTCATAAAAAAAATATATATTTTTTAATTTAATAAAATAAAATATCATATTTAAATCATAATTTTTTTTTTTATAAAAATTAAAAAAGTCAAAAAAATTTATTCTAAATAAAATTTTTTAATATCAAATTAAGATAGTCAAAAATTAAAAAATTAAAAAAATCAACTTACATCTTAAATGAAGGTTGAATATGAAAGGTTTTCTTTACTCACTTTTATATTTTAAACAAATTTTAAAAAATATATTTATAATTTATTTTAAAAATAAATCATAATTAAAGAAAAAAATAACAAAAATACATATAATATATATTTTTTAAAGAGATGTATATTAAAATTTCTCAATTATATTTTGCCCGTGTAAATTTATCTAGTGTGCCAAATTCAATTTTAATTGGTTAAAACAATAAATTCCACCACTTTTGTGTGTCTTTTGAGGATATGAATGGATAAGTGTGAAGCAATGCTCTAGCCACTATTCACCCAAAAAATGCTCTAGTCCACCAAATGCTTTCACATTCTTGGTTCGGTGTCACTCTGTTTTGTGGGCCCATGTTAAACAAGTAAAAAAAAATTACAATTATGTATAAATTTAGGTAAATTACAAATACATCCTTCAATATTTAGGTTTAGTTTGGCATATATTAAAAAAGTCAAAAAATTAAAAAGTTATCACTATTCATCAAAAAAAATATTAAAAAAATAATTTAACACATAATTACATTTCAGACAACTCTGCCGTCCCACAGGCGGAGCCACCTTTTTAAAAAATTGCACTTATTTAGGTAGGTAAATAATACGGTGTTGTTCGACCCGTAGGGGTCCATCACGGGTCCTGTTTTAATAATATTAACCGTTCAATGTATAGAACTCATCGAGTACTATATACTTGTAAAAAAACCCACGTTGATCGGATATCGGTAACTATATGATCAAATCAGTTAAAGTTTATAAAATTGATGGTATTATAGTTAACGGTTGAAAAAAAAACTAATTCGATCAGATAACTATCGATATCCGATCAACGTGATTTTTTACAAGCATCTAGTATTCGACGAGTTCCACATATTGAACGGTTTTAATTAGCAAAACGGGACCCGTGGTAGGGCCCCAAGGGCCGAACAACACCTCCAATTCAATGCCCGAAAAGCAAGGAATCATATCCCAGGCTACACTCCACACTGTCTTGAATTATCCCACCGTACCGCCTATTCCATCTCAATTTTCTCTTATACACTAATTTATACAATTTTTTAATACATATTTTTTCATAAAAAGTCAAAAAGTTATCCCAAACAACCATTTTTTTTCTCAACTTTTTAGTCCAAAAAGTCAAAAAGTGCACTTATTTAGGATACCCCAAACAACCCCTTAATTAAAATACAAATCGTTCTTTGTAATTTTGAAAATTACATTTCACTCCATGAAATTTCTAATTTCATAACAAATCGTCATTTTTATTAATAAATCATCAAGTCAATTAACAGTTTTTAATGATGTTAAAAATATGTTTCAATTCATAATTTAGGTAATTTATTATTGTATAAGAGATCAATTATGAACTTTATTTTTTAGTTAATTATGTTAAATAAAAAATTCTAAAAAAATGATATTTGTAATTTTTCAAACCACATGAGATAATCTATATTTTAAACAATTCTCAAGGGGTGTATTGTAATTTACCCTATAAATTTTTACAAAAGGAAAGGCTTCTCTTCGATTTAAATTAGATTAGAGAGTGTTTTGGGTCTTTGTAGGCTCACTACAGAGCCCCGCGTCGATAATTCAAACCTTTCAATACATAGAATTTGTCGAATATTTTATTCTTATAAAAAAATCATATTAATTGGGTATCAATAACTATATGATTGAATTGCATATTTTTTATGCCATTTCTCTAAAGAAAAACTTATTGTTTATTTTTTTAATTATCAATCATATAGTTATTGATATCCGATTAATATGATTTTTGGTAGACATAAAGTACTCAACAAACCCTATAAAATGAATGGTTTGGATCATAAAAATAAGCCTATAATACACCTCAAATTGAGACACAGCAGTCACTGCTGTAATAAATCCGTGTACCAACTAGTGTTATAATATTATTATTGACCACATTTATTATACAAATTACAAATACCCAAAACCATACAAATAATGCAACATCATCTGTTAGTACACTAGTGTATACATTAATTGGTACATATAGCATTATTCTTTTTATATTTATAATTACTCTCTTATTTATTAAAAAAAAGAATATTTACACACCAATTTTAATTTATGAACTTATACTTCATTAAGTTTTAATTAAGATTTTTTGGACCTTCAAGTCCCATTAAATTTTTAATAGTCGGAATTGTTCTTCAAACAATGATTGTCCATCATTAGGGATGGCAATTTGAAACCGACCCGACGGGGATCCCTGATCCCGACTCCGATTTGAGCAGTTATTCCCCGAAAAATACCCCCGACAGGGAGAAAACGATATCTGAAAATCAATCCCCGATCTATTTCGGGTTGGGAAC